TTTTTTTTAAGGCTGGTTTTGAATTAAAAATTGAGACACCACGTTTGCCCAGCTGGTATGGCTCAGTGGTTGAACATCGACCTGTGATGTTCACGGTTCGATTCCTGGTCCGGGCACATGCCCAGGTCGCAGGCTCCATCCCCAGTGGGAGGCACACAGGAGGCAGACAATCAACGATTCTCTCTCATCGTTGATGTTTCTATCTCTTCCTCCCTCTCCCTTGCTCTCTAAAATCAATAAAAATATTTTTAAAAGAAAAATATAATAAATAAAACATCATCCGCGGGCCATACACAATTACCAACTTAAAATCAGCCTGCCGGATTTGGTCCAACATTTCATGAACTCACCCCTAATGCCTCGGCAGGGCCAGGCCACATGATTTCTCAGGCCTTGTATTTCGAGTGCAATGTATGCATATTTCCACAGTAACAACGATGGCTTGTGGCTTCGGTCATCGGCGACCATCAGCGCGACTGATGGCCGACGTGACAGCAACTCTGCCCTTCCATCCCTTGCCCATCAGCTGCGATATTTTGCCACTATTTTAACCAGTTCAGAGTACCAGACCATAATGCTGGTCTGGTAAAATCAGTCAACTTGACTAAATCACATTTTTTCCCTTCAAACATTGAAGCACCTACTATGCACTAGGCCGGTGTTCTCAACTTTCTGGCCCTTTAAATACAGTTTCTCATGTTGTGACCCAACCATAAGATGATTTTCGTGGCTACTTCATCACTGTCATGTTGCTAGTGTTATGAATCACCATGTAAATATCTGCTATGCAGGATGGGCTTAGGCGACCCGTGAAAGGCTCGTTCGACCACCGAAGGGGTCGCGACCCACAGGTTGAGAACCGCTGTGTTAATGGGACACGGTGAACGCTGCCCAAGCCGACCCGTGTGGACTGTTTTTGTCCTTTCGACAACGCCACCTGCTACTTTCTTCTTTTCTCACTCCAATGGGTTTAAGGACATGTTAGGATGGTGTTAAAAAAACACATAGGGTGTCCCAGAAGAATGCATACACACACTCTGAACAATTACAAAGGCGGCGTTTATTAAAATACATTTTCAAAAATGGGCTATCAGGCGATAAAGTGTGCACGCATTTTGGGGACGCCCTGTACATTCGCATAAGCATCGAATATCAGGGTGACTCGGGCCCATACAAACTACGACAAGGAAGAGGGGAGGTGGCGTTCTCGCCTTTGAGGTCCCAACACCCTGACCTCAATGCTCGGCCTGAGCCATATGGGTCCCTGATCAATCCCTGTTGGCTTTCAGGGTAAATAAAGGAGCATTTTCGGGGTGGAAAGCCCTGGCATCGAGACGGTAACTTCCACCGAGCGAAA